TTTTAATGAGTCAAATTAATTTTATTAGAGACTTAATTAGTGAAAAATAAAGTTTGGAACTCCAAATTAAGCTTAATTAAAAAGATTAAAATTTTAAAGAACCAAACTTAATTTTTACAAAGTCAATTAATTAAAATTAGTAGTAAATTACAAGAAAATTAAAGTTTAGGGTCAATTCAGGGTTAAATTAAAAAAAATCACAATCATGGATCTTTTTTTAAAAAGTGTTAAACTTCAAGGACTTAATTTAGTTGAAGACAATGGTGAAATTGAAGAAATGAAAAGTTTAATAGTCAATTGAGGGTTAATTTGCATAAATCAAAAATCAAAGACCAAAATAAAAAAGACATTAAAATTCAAAGCTCATATTAAAGTTCAAAAGGGGCAAAGCTGAATAAAATTAAAAGTTTGAATCAATTAGGAATGTAATTAAAAAAAATCAAAAGTCAAATGACTAAATTAAATCTTTATTAAGTATTTAAATTAAAACCCTAAAATGTTAAAATTATCGTTTCATTTAAATGAAACAACATATTTATTTTGACTAAAACGGTAATGTTTTAACCAAACAATAACAAAAAAGACAATTATATAGTTACTATCCATCATCCCCTCCTTTTTGCTCAAAAAAGCTACCTGGGTAGGTATATTTTCAAAGCATTTAATGTTTTATCTCTGAATCAAACTGAACAAATCATACACCCTAATATAAATTTTATTGACTAATTGCCCCTACAGCTACCGAGAGACCGCCTTAAAGTGGCCAATCTGACCAGCCTTTAGCAACCTAATTTTACAAAACATGATGGCACCTTTGAGCCAACAAGTGAGATCTTTCCTGCTTGAATCAAGGGTTAAAATTGATCCTAATAAAGATAAAATATCACTTTTCCATCCTATGTAAATGGAATGAATTTTAGGCATTGAGGGAGAAGAAATTAAGGTGCAAACTAGACAAAAAGTCAGCATCCCAAATCTTCTACTTTATTTGCTAACCTTTTTCTCTCTTCCTTCATCATGTCCTTGTTGCCACCAACCTCACGTCGACCTTTCCAACATGATCACTACCTAGTCACATTAGATAACCTTCTCTTTTCTTTTTTTATAATAAAAAATCCTAACCATTTGCATGCATAACGAGAACTTGTTGTGCATGCAAATGCAAATAATAAACTTGGTCACTAGACTAGACTAATGGCCATGTAATGTTGGGCCGGACTCATTTTAGCTCAACCTAGATGGTTAACCTGGGTCCAATCCTATATATAATAATAATAATAATAATAATAATAATAATAATTTTTTAAAAGATTATTTTGAAATTATTTATGGGTTCGTCGCATGTTTTTCTAATAATTTTATATAATATTAGGTTATGAACTTATACTGTAAAATACGGACTTGATATAAAAATATTCGATTTTTCTCCAGAATTTCAAAAAAAATCAAAAAATTCAAAAAAGAACTTTCATTTCAAAAACAAAAAAAATGTTTGGTTTTCATGCACACAACCAAATTCTAAAAAGTTTTTATGTATATTTAAAAAAAAAAAGATAAAATCATATTTTTATCATGTTTTTTAGAAAATACAAAAATAAATATCGTAACCAGATTATTCATTAAAATTTAGTTAAAATAAAAAAAATTCAATTATAATTAGTTTGTTGTTTGATCGCTAGGATTTAGCTATATTTAAGAAATAAATAAGTATGGGTCCTAGAACAGTTATGATTTAACCTTATAAAATAGAAATTTTTTTATGAAAAGAGAATTATCTTGTATCTTAGACAAGACCAATAGTTGGAAACATGATCTAGAAAAACAATCAATAACCAATGCAGCTTATTTTAGATAGAATATATTAGAGGTAATGTGTCTTTTCCTTACATGATTATTTCTCTTACTCAAATTCTCGTAGATTATTAATTTTTTTTAATAATTATAATATTAGAAGATGACTTGTAAAATTTATTATTATCATCTCATGATTAAACTTAAAAACCTTCTTTTACCATTCTCAGAAAACATATATCTGTCATTAGATATCGTGCTTTTCCAATATCTTGCTTTAGATTTCCCTGGAGAAACAAGCCTGGTCCAGAATTTGCCTCATTTGTTTTTCTCTATTGTCATTTATTTGATCAGCATAACATCTCGAGCAGATGGGAACTCTTGAAGATTTCCGAAGGGGTGAATTATGCATATGATGGCGCTGCAGTCTATTCTCAGGTAGAACTTCATGACATGACTCCAACTGTGCTTTGCATAATCAGCTTAGGTTTACTGTACAAGAAAAATATTAGCAGGTCGATATATGGTGCTAACTATCAACTGCCAAAATTTCCCGTTTGCCACTCTGATGCTGAATCATCGATAAAATCAGCTTTGCCCCATCACGCAACTGGGTCCTTAACAGAACTTCCAATACTATCATCGATAAAATCAGCTTTGCCCCATCACACCACTGGGTCCTTAACACAACTTCCAATACTACAAATACTC